AAAAAAAAAAAAAAACATATACAAATCAAGATCGAACACTTGAATTAATAGTCCAATCCTATTCCCGGGGATTTTTCCGACCGACTTATCCAGGGAGATAGATTGTAGCTGATTAAGAAGAAAATTCGGACGGTGCGAATTCAGTGGGGATTGTCCGATTGAGTTATCCAAGGAGACAGGTTGTAGCTGATTACGAAGAAAATAAAGAAGAGAGAAATGAGCAGAGATGAAGATGGTAAACGGAACAGGGATAATCCATGGCCGCAGCCAAACAGAGGCTATCGGGACAAAGAAAACGAGCCGAGGCTATGGGGAGTTCTAGTTTTTGGATTAATAGGGGCCACTGTTACCACCTTTGCTGTAAGCATTTTGCGTTTATTTGAATTGTTAATTTGTTTTGCTTTAACCATGGTTTTTGGGCATATAAAGCCGTCAGCTTTGAGGATTTCCGATGGGTTGAAGTTAGGTATTATCCTTTAGGGTTTAGTCTCATTGATTATTTGTTGATTAGTAATTACCAGTGGCTGATTTGTTGACTGGGTGGTATTTCTTATTGCCCCGTTGGGGCGAAGAGAATTAGGAATCGAGTACCTATTACAATAAAGATGAGCATGTTAATGCTATGAAGTTATAACTTTTCTACTCATTTTAGTTAGGCAATCGCTAAAAAGCTATTCATATTTTCGCTTGTAGCGTGGAAGTGGTGATTGGGGAAATCGAGAGGTGGTAAGGGGTGTTTGAAGCTGAATTTTTACGTCTCTATATGATTGGTTTTGTGGAAAAGCTGGACTGAAGTTTCTAATGGAGTGATGTCTGTCCTGATGTTTTTAGTGACCTTTCTCTTGTCTATTCTTTTTCTATTTATTCTCTTTTTAACATTAAAATGGGATACTTTAACAGCTATAGTTTAGAGACGAGGAGTTGAGCGCATTTTAGTTTTTGTTATAATTATACTTCTAATTGTGTGAATCGGAAAACATGTACTGAGCTGGAGGCTATCATTTAAGCTCTAAACAGCATGTGAGATGTTTGCTCATTATTAGCTTCTATGAGATGATCCTGTCAACAGTTCTGCAAATAGTATGAAATGGTTATTGATATTAAGTCCGAGGAAGTGTATCTGTGTTGTAGCTAGTAACTAGTTTTCTGTGGAAAGTTTTATGATAGAAATCCGTTCTTGATTATGAAGTTTTAAATGATTACGTTGCAGTTCTTTAAATGTTGAAGAAACCATTTACAAAATTTTCTCTGATGCTGGCAGATTTAAAGAATTTATAATATGTGATTGCTTCTTGATTGATTAGATCAAGAATTGAGGAACATAGCTGGTGAATTTAACGGTCTTCTTGCTATCCTGATTATAGGGGGAAGGGATCCGAATGATGTGTGTGCTACAGATATAGACATAGAATTACACTACTAATGTCTTATAACAGGCACAAGATGGAGATATATAAAATCATCAATAAAAGGATTGATTTTGTGGGGAAGAGATGATATTATTTTGTACACTCCTGCTTCTAATCCCACTTTTGTAAAGTTGGATAGCACTTAGCAGAATCTGGTTATTGGATCTTTAAGTTGTCTATGCATAGCTTTTGTTGAAATAATTAAGTCATGTTGTGGATTCAACTACGTAGAAGTATTCTAGGTATAGTGGAATTTTATTTTGACAATGAGCAGTTGTTTATATGCATTATATATTATAAGTTCTCTATTAGCTCAATAATATACGAAGAGTTGCTCACCCAATTATCTACTTTAGGCAGGTCATGTTTTGTTGAAAGGAATGAAACAATTTGCGATTGTTTCTCATTGTTCGCATCAGTCTAAGATTTAGAATTCACCATTGTTTTTTGAAAAACCCATACTTCGAAGGAAATTCACAATTTCATATATTTGCAACTTCTTGTTCTGTTGATTTATTGAGAGTTATTTGTTTATTTATTATTTTCATAATAATGCAGGTTACACAATTGCGAAGAACGGCTGGCTGGGTATATTCTCAGGTAACAATGACTTTTATTAGTTATACACTTTTTTTTTTGTGTTTTACGAGTAAATCAGTGTTACATTAGTATGGGTATCAATAGGCAGCTCTTGAACATATTTTTTTAATTATAATGTACTGATCTTGTATGTACTGGAATGCAAAAAGTTGAGCAGGTCTCAGTCATCATGGAAGGATCGGCGTTCTTCCCGAACCAGTTTTCAGGAGGAGGCATGGAAAAGATACAATCGTCGTATGCAAGAAGAATATGAAGAAGAAATGGAGAGAGTGGTTAGATTTTTTTCTGCCGCTGTTTCTTTTCATGGTTGAAGACTTAATATCTAATTGGATGTGTGCTACATGAAAATTTATATCTATACTTTAGTTGCATCTTTGCTCTTCATTTTATTATGGAACTTTCAGCTTTCTAAAATTTTTGAAGATATTGAGGTATTCGCTAATCCTCAATTGGTATAGATAAATCAGCAGGAAAGAATGGGGGAGATTTCAGTGCATCGAGAAAGAATATCTGGTCTAGTGATAGTCAAATAGATGAGACTGTCGATGAGCTTTCGATATAGAATGGGATCAACAAGAAGTTCACCTTCATCCCATCTACGCTTAGCATTAACTTCCACAGGAGTTTCCACAGGCATCCCATTTTTATTCCAGCTAGGGCCTAGGTGAACCTCTAAACCCTATAAGTAGGTAAGATGGCCCAATTATTTCACGTGAAAAGTAGAGTACAACAATCTTTTTATTCAAGGCATGGTCTCTAGATCAGAACCAGTCACTACAATATCATCCACATACACAAGAAGCACCACGATGCCTTTAGGAGTCCTTTGTAGGAGAAGTGATGGAACATACTGGCATTGAATGTGATAAATGGGTCTGGTTAGAACTCGTCCCAAAAAGCTAGCTCAAAGGGAGAGGGTGCCAAACCTGCACTTATACACTAAAACAGCCTAGTAACTAAATGATGTGGGACAAACATAACTTCTAACAGAATGAATGAAAAACCAAGCAGTGTGGAGCATAATTTTTCGAACCATATTATCGGTGCCTGTTGCAATATATACAAAGAACGTTTCAGTTTTGACTAGGTATTGGCATACCGTTAGGAAGTTTGATGTAAGCTTCCTCCTTAAGTTCACCATGGAGGAATGTGTTTTTAACATCCATTTGGTATAGTGACCAAGATTGTGGTGCAGCTAGAGGAAGAATAGTACGTACTGTGGTCATCTTGGCAACGGTGCAAAAGTCTCACCATAGTCCAATCCAATCTATATTCTTGCCTATTCCAAGCACAACCAGTTGAGCCCTGTAGCATCCATCAGACCATCTTTACAGTAAACACGAACTTGCTGCCAAAGGTTTGACAAATGGGGGACATGTCACCATATCCCAGGTCTGATTTTCATCTAAGGCAAGAAGTTCACCTTCTGCCAACATTCATTTTCCATGGCCTGCTTATAAGATGAAAGAAGAAGAATGGGTGATGATGTCGCTGTAAAGGAATTGATAAACTTTCAGGAGGTTTGCTAATGCGTGAACTTCGTGGTGATGGTGCTGGAGTGGAACCATCTGGTTGTTTATTTCCAGTTGAAATTCGTCTTTTGCAGGTTAAGATAGATTTAGATGAGGATTGACCTGCAGAAGTGGTCGAAAAAAATGGCAAAATACAATTTGGCGCAGAGCGAGAATCATGAAGAGTTGAAAAAAAAATCATATTTTCCTGGTAGATGACATTTCTAGAGATACGAATGTGACGAACGTTAGGATCATAACATAGAGAAGTCTTTGATGAGGGGAATATCCCAAAAAAAGCACATTCAATAGATTGGGCAGTAAGTTTGGTTTGTTCTTGAGGAGGGACATGCACATAACAAAGACCACCGAATATATGTAGATTAGTCTATTATGGAGGGCGACCAAAACGCCGGGTAAAGGAGTTTCATTGTAGTCTCTGATACCATGTGAATATTTGAAGAAAAGGATATTTGAGCTTTTGGCATCTGTGTCTTCTCCTGCTGGATATATCTTGTATATATACAGCTTAATTAAAACTTAGTCAGCCCATCTATTATGCTGAAATATTTACAGCCTGATCTTTAGCCTACTCAATACAATTTAACTGCCATTTGAGATTTGACCACATTTTAACTCACTACATGCAATGTAGCTGCTTTTTGACCTCACTAATTATCATGTCAGATTGAACTTGAAATTGGGATTTGAATCAGTAGTCTTTTAGTTAAAGTTCGAAAAGCAATTACTGGGAAACATCAGGACATAGGATGCTTTACCAAATGGTATTTGACTGAACTATCCCAGGGAACAAATCCTGAAAAGACCCTTAATATTAAGTTTTATATAAAGAAATGATTAGAGCATTAGACTAACTTCTATGTGATCTAGTTCTTGTTGAATAAATTTACCAATGTGCTCTGGAAATGTTTGATAGGTGTTTTGATCGTTGGTAGATATGCTAAAGGCTTCACCATGTTATTAGTGACAAGGACTTCTGAAGCATTATAGTGATTCAAGACTTACTGTTAAGTTTAACATAAGCAGCAAGCAAAAGAATGATTGTAGGATTAGATCTTAGCAGCTTTGTTGCAATAGTCTTGACTCTAGATGTTCTAACTGGATGGTAGTTTCGGTTGCTGTTCTTCTTGGTTAACTTTCTGTCTGCCTTAAAGACTAAAGTATTGTTTCTGTTTCACTGACTTTAACCAGGCTAGGCTGACTTGCCATTTTTCCGTATCGAGAAAGCTTTATATTTCTTTGAAGAAAAAAATTTCATTTGCACATCTCAACTCTGGACTTTTTCAATTCCGCAATTACACTGGAAATTTGTGTAACTCCACTAAGTTATATTGAGCAGCTCTTATGCTTTCTAGGAGCGAATTCGACGGATGCAAAGTGTATTCAATAGAGAAAGAAATAAATTCAAGAGGAGTTATGAGAGCTGGCAAGAATATGGTCCAGGTGCGTATCATCAGAAGTTTCAGAGGAATGATTGGTACTATAGTGCAGATAATTCAACTGGAGATCGTAATAGCAATTTTAGGGAGACTCCTAGAGCCAGTGCGAGTTCTCCTTTATCACATCATTACTCAGTCCTTGGCCTTGACAGGTACGTTATTTGCTAATATAAGAACAAGAAACATAGTAGAATAACTGTTCTGATAAACTTTCCCATTGTTGAAATTATCTAAGAACAATTTGACTACCTCTGCTTTAAAGGGTTAACATCACATCTTGGAGTTATAGTGTCCATCTTATATGAGTAGTACTGAAAGGATGTTGGGACCCTGCCTGGCCTCAAATGTGGGCGATGTCAGGTGTATTGCTTTGTTAAGAACTTTAAATTTGGCAATTCATAGGTTCCATACTGCAGAGTTGGTATTGTGTCAATTACCTCTTAAGAGATGTGGTAAGTAGGACTTCTAGTGAAGTTTAAAAATGATAAGAAAGGTGTTTTAAGTTGATATTTAGAAACAATGTTGTAGAAATATCTAGGCGCCAGTGGATAGAAACCTACCACCTAACTTCTGATCAGCTACCTCAAAACACAATTATCTTTTACCTTTTTTACTCGAGTTTGGCTGATTTCCTGAGTTATCACCGACTTCAGTGCCTAGCCCATTCTATTGTTCGGGCTTATGATGACTTTTCTTTGCTCTCCCAGTTAGAGATTAGAGTTTGCCATTCCATTATGTGGAATGCTCTTATTTGCATGTTTGATACTTTAATAAGGTTTAATGTGTCTTGAAAAGTTTGTGGTCTGTTAATTTGGTGCAATACACCTCCGAATGATCTTGGTTTAAGACATAATTATGCGCAGAATAGCTTTCCATTTGATTTATTTTTATCAGAAAAGATTAAGTTCTTTCTATGACTGCTATTATATCTTTTACCATGGCATATGGAACTGATAGGCTTGTTTTAAGGACTTAATATTGCTGTAAGTGACCTGTACATGGTTCGGTTTTGATTCTATATTTCAGAGTCTTAAGGTGACTTACATGTCGAGCATTTATTTGTTCGAACCCTTTTCTAATTCAAAAGCTAAAAGGCGTAGAACTTTCCCTGCTTTTCTTGGTTAATTGAAGTTGCATGCTGTAGGTGTGGTACTATAGAGCTAGTAAATTAACGGAACAGCTTAGATATGGAGATTGCTGCTTGTTATATCTCTTGTAATTTTGTTTTCCCTGGGACATTGTGAAATTGTTTGTGGTAATTATATCGTATGTATATCGCATTCTTCATGTCTTACCAACTGATTTATATATAAGAAGATAGTTATGGTAGCTACCTTATTGTCATAAAACAAAATGTTATCTTTTGCTCTAGGAAAGAAATGAATTTGCCTAGATGGCTATGGATGTCGTATTATGCAATGCATTATAGAATGCCGACGTCTTACAGATGCCTCGACCTATTACATTAATCTATATGGTGATATCCAGTCTTTCTTTTATAAGTTCACCTCTTTGCTATGTTTAATCTTTTGTGCAGGCGGAGAACAAAACCCTACACAGAAGATGAGATAAAGGTACTTTTTAATGTGAAATAAGCTTATCCATGTTGCATAGATCATAAAGCTGCTGATGGATGAAAAGTTAATTCTTCAGTCATCCTGGATGTTCTATTGTGCATTTCAACTGTAATTCGCACTTACTACTGCTAAGTTTTGGTTATTAGTTGTCAAATATTGAGATCCTTTGAGTAGTAATGATGCATGCAACTGTTACGAAAAGACGTTGACAGTGATAATATAAGTGGGATTTGCTCAATCCCACAAAGGGCATAACAAATCTGAATAAAAGTTCATGGGGGATCATGATATATATAGTTATAGTTAATTGTATGGTAAAACTTTGCCCCCAACAGTCTCCAGAACTTGTACATCTTGAAGTTGGACATTTTCAAATATCCTGCATTAAATGTCGTGGGACTTTTGGCAGCTTGTACGTTTCTTCTAAAGATTACTTCCGTCTCCCGTCTCTGGATTTTTAGCTATACTGATTGAAAAATGTAGTAATGAAAGGTGCATACGTTGTCAATAACTGCCGTTCCATCCTCTCTGGTTTATAACAATGTAATTTTGATGTCTGTAATTGAAAGGCTTGCATTTATTATGTAACTTTGCCATTTATATAGCTTCCAAGTGGCATATGATGCCTGCATGTCATATGTTTGCCCAGAAAACGTATATATTACCGTTTCTGCTAATTCTTCTTTGATTACAGTCAGCATTCAGAACAAAGGCAAAGCAATTTCACCCTGACCAAAATCAGGATAATAAAGGTGTTGAATCTGAGGCAGATTGGATATATATATATATGTGTGTATATATATATATATATATATATATATATATATA